CCACGCATGCACGGAGAGAACATGCAAACTCCAGCCAGAAAGGTCCCGGGCTGGGGTTTGATACGGCGACCTTTTCGCTGAGAGGCGGCAGCTCTGCAAACTGTGCTATCGTGCCGCCCTAAATCAAGTATCATGAAGCTGTTTTGTTAAATTAAAAGGTTTTATTGTACTCTCACATTTACATTTTTGGTAGAAAAACATTTTTAGACATTCTTTTGTCAAAAATATGACTTGATCAATATGTATTTCAAGCAAACCTTGAACATGTTGTTTGTATTTGATCATACAATGATGACAATACATAACACATTATTATTATTATTATGTCTTAATTTAAACAAAAACCTGTTACAAAATACCCAATAAACTAATAAGATTTACAATCTAACTGTTTAAAGAGTTTGGGATTTCAGATTAGTCTTACGTTTGGGGGCTTCTTGCATGTTCTTCCTGTGCATGAATGACTGGTTTCTGGATATTAATTTCCCTGCACACTTGTTAAGTTAACCCATAAATAACAGGTTAACTTGCTGCTCTACCGCACCTCTCGCCCAAATGACCACTGGAGATGGGTTCCAGCTCCCAGTGACTGTGAACAGGAACAAGTGGGTAAAACTACATAGGTCAAATTTACACCCATCTACAAACTATTATACAGCAACTTTTGGTAATGGCCCGGACAAACAAAGTCCTTATACATTTGACCTTGATTTGTGACCTTGACATAGAGCTGGGGTGACGAGATCATACGACACACCAGCTAGTGGTGGTACAAACTCATATCAAGTTTCGTTCAATTATCTTCCTAGCGGCTCAAAAGTTACAGCCTGGACAAGCAAAGATCTTTATAATGTTTGAACTTGATCCGTGACCTTGACCTTGGAGGTGGGGTGATGAAAAATGAACACAACACGCCGCCTGCTGATACAGTCATGAATTTGGGTATCGCTACAATAAAGTTAAGTCAGGTCCTCTGGATGGTTTCTTGTTTTTATTGAAACGTTTCATCCTTCATCCAAAGAACTTCATCAGTCCGAGGAGCCACAACAAACTCAGTCCAATAAGTGGCTTATTCACATAGTGGACCAACCAGTTTGATGGTGATAAGTTGGTTTCTGGATTATTGTGCATGAACTTTGATGTTCTACAGGAGGGTGGACTCCAGAAACCTTATCACCATCAAACTGGTTGGCTCGTTGTGTGAAAAAGCCACTTATGGGACTGAGCTTGTTGTGGCTCCTTGGACTGATGAAGCCCTTTGGATGAAGGATGAGACATTGCAACAACAAAAAAAGCCATCCAGATGACCTGACTTAACTTTGTTGGAATTTTTACATGGATTATTGAGCATCAACTTTGATTTGTGGATTAAGTTTTGCTAAATTACGAGTAAGGTATAGCTGGAATAGGATAAAGTTTATGGTTGTACAGATGGAAGGAGACTAAATTAAAAATGTCATCCGACGTGTATAAAAATGGACGGATGTCTTCTTAGGTGCATTTTTAAAACTCCTAAAGGATATTCATTAATTCTGCTCATGTATTATATGTTGATAATCAAACACAAGTACGTTTCACATCGTCAGTCTGTGGAACAAACGGATGAATAAAACCGTCTTTACAACTGTAACAAAGGCAAATGTAATTTGCTTTAATTTGTTAAGCAGCCAGTAAACATCCCAGTATGGATGTGATACAGCTTGGCAATATTTCTTTTAGCTGCTTTATCTAAACCTCCCTTTTAACGCTCGAGTGCACACGAGTCCTCTGATCTGAAGCGGACCACATGACGCAGAGGAATGAGCGGCTTTGGTCCATCCACATTCCACACGAGCTGCAGGAGAGCAGATGGACAACATGTGACGCGCTGGAAAAGAGCAACTTCATGGAGTGGTCACAAAGTTTTACATTTTGATTGTGATATAGTAATGACGGTTTTTAATCATTACTTATTAAAATGCATTTTTTTATACATTATTCACATTTTCAGTTGTGTCTGATAGTTCTGTTTGATTTTAACAAACCGAACATATTTATTGGTTACAAGATATTGCTCCTGGACAAAACAGAAAGTGACAAGCTCATTGACTTCTGATGAGTATGGAAAGCAGAAAACCAAATAAATGTTTTTCTTATCGTCTCCTGACACTTACTGCGGTCGTGAGCGTTGATTTTGAGGCCTGTGAGGTAGATTATTGTCAGTTCATAAAGAAATTAAGAAACAAGTTCAGACACTTGCAGTTTTTTCTGTTTTTAAACCGGATGGATTCATATTAATTTACATGGATTCACAAGTCCTAAAACCATTTAAAAAAGATTCATTAATCC